ACTCGAACCCGACACCTGTTGACCGGTAGTTGAACGCTCTAACTGTTGAGGCACGGGCCTAAGTTGACTAAAAGCATAAAAGAGGTATAAAGAGTAAAATTACCTCGGTCAAAAAAACAGTTTTCTAAACATTAATGAAAGAATGAATTTTTAAAACTATATACGAGAAAATTAATTTCTGTGGGCAAGTGGTTCGGCAGTGCTGCTCTCGACCGCTAGACACTTCCTGCTCCGCTGCTCAAGCAGCGTTCAGGGGAAACCATCACAGAAGTCCAAGTGATTGTTTCAGTAAACCACCTCCCAACACTCGGTGCTTTCGCAAAAGAACATTTTAAACAGCACGGCTTACGTTCACGATTAATTTGTTCCTCATGGCAAAACAGTGAAACAAGATTACCATCTGCAAGTGCTAAGGTGCTGGCGTGGAGCAGCAAGAGAAAAACGGATCGAATTACGACGATCGGGGACTGATTTTTCATCCCGACAGCGCTCAAAATCAACCAGTTTTGGTGGAAAAACAGCACGATAAGCACTCGCTTGACCTAGCCCCCTCCCACTTCTTATCATTGTTATTGATAAAAAAATATAGGACAACCCTACAAGGGGAAATGTTTACAGATCTCCTCTTCTCGAAATGATCACGGAACAGCCGGTTCCTCCCAAATTCCCGCAGCGAACGTGTGGACGAACAGGGCAAACAAAGCCCGAAACGACGCCCCAGCCCCCCTTTGTTCATGCCGATAGCGGCAGAATTGAGAGGACAGTGAACACTTTCCAGCAAAGATAAGGCACAACACTATGTTGCCACCAAGCAACCACGACAACCTTAGATACTCTTCTGGATCTATCTGATGAGCACTGGAGATGATAGTGTTGCTCGATTATCGCATCCCGACAATTGCCTACTAACTACAATTATTCACCGATGCATCAGGTATGAGTTCGTCGCAAACCAACCTACTAACAACAAGACAGTAGGCAGATTTAATTACAGTAATATGTAGGTACAAAAGTTCACAGAACAAACTCTAGTCATACGTCTGGCATTGCAGCGTCTTCTTCCTCCTCACCGTCCCCATCCACAGCAGTAGCCAAAATCTTACGGAATCGGTGGTAGGGGGAGGAGGCGGAGTGCAGCTGGGCAATGAGGGCGTTCTGTTGCGCGATTTCATCCTCAGTGGCAAATTCACCCTCTGTGGCGAGTTTGGCGGCGGTTACTGCGACATCCGA